GGTGGTGAATGTGGAGGATTTTATTGTATGGTAGAAGTAGTTCTCAGCAGGAAGGGGAATAGAGTGGGAAGATAATCTTCCCCTGGAGTTGGGCCATCTGTGGCAGAACTCTTCTATGAAATTCTGCTGTCAAGCCATCCCTCTGAAGTTAAGCTGCTTCTCTCTAACATCCAGCTGGTTCCTCTCGTCTCCTTCTCTGCCAGTGGATCTTGGAGTTTTTATGGGTACAGGGTGGAGGGTGGGGCAGGCCAGGGTGGTTTTGGAAAAGGCAACGTTTGGGTGGGAAAACAGGGATGTGAAGTTCTCTTTTAGGGCCTTGGGTCCAGGCTTGAGGGTGGAGCCCTCGCCAGGGAACCACCCTCTTCTACCCAGTATTTCCCTGCCTCCTGTCTGTATGTAGTTTCTATCTTTCTGATAAAATACCTGATTTAACCACTTACATTTTCTTTAAGACAGTTAATTGGAGGTTGTTCATATATGTTGGTAGTAAAATGTCACATACACGTGCCACATATAAACATATAGACATCCAGGACACATGGAAGCAAATTTTGTATTAATAGCTTTATAAGGTTCTCCATTTGCCAGTTTGCAAATAGTTTCTTTCCGCTTTAGACTGTCAAGCCCCAAACAATTATTAGCTAGGCTATCATAAATTTACAATCCCAAAGACATGACTCAGGTGAAAATTTACATCCCAAAGGCACAGAACTTAGATCTAAACACCATTATTTACTGGGACAAAGAAGGGCATAAGTAAAGGCCCGGTCAAGATAAGATTAGCAGTAAAAATATCTTAAGCAAAAGTAAGGTGTGTTTTATAAACTTTAAGGCACTGTTTTTCCTATCATAAAAGTTTCTAGTGGCTTAGGTGCAGTAAGGGAGATGCTTCTGCAAGCAGAGATTTCCTTTATATATGTAAATCTATTTTACAAAGAGTTTCAAAATAGCCAGCTAAATGCCAGAAAGTCATATTTTGGAGATCAATCTAGTTAGATAGGTGGTATTCTCAACTTAGCTTATGTATTGATTAGATTATTAACTTCAGGGTTGAGCCCTTTAGTGAATAGCAAAATGAAAGCATTTGCAGTTTTGGGGCCCTAATATTGACATATGTGAAAAGCAGGCAAAACTGAATGGCAGTGCACCTAGATATTTAAAATTGAACAGTCCCACTTTTACACTGAATTCTGAGATGAGAATCTTCTCATTCTCAGAAGAGAGAAATGCCACAAGACCGGGCTATGCAATATTTCCACAATGCACCTCACTGCAAAGACATTCCCTCAAGACTGGTAGGTGACCCAGTGCCCATCAGCACACTCTGTGATCAGACCACCCTCCCACAGGAGGAGTTTTATGCCTTGAGGGAAAGTGTTTCCTCCACCTTCAAGTGTTCAAACCTGTCTTTCTATCTAAACACCCGAAGAAATGAGTAGCCCCGTACATTTATAATCATTCACTGTAACTGATTTCAGCTACTTCAGAAACCACAGTTTTTGCCAGTGACTTGTCAGTCATTGCACACACAAAATTCAAGTTGTAATAGTGCAGCGTAACCCCTGGAACCCCAAAAGCTAAACAGATCAGCTACTACTTCTAACAGCTCTTGCAAATCTTTATTATTAGACTCAGTTATGGAAGTACGATTGCCCATAATTATACTTCCTTCTTGAATGATCAAAAAGACCCAGTGAGAGGAACTTTGGTCACCCAAGAAGAATGTTTAGATTTGTCAATAGAACTGAGCTGTGGAATCTCACCAATTTTAAAGATTACAAATTTTTCACTTCAGCCATAAGATTACACTTTTTCTTTTCAGAGAGAAACTATTTTTTCCCCGACCAAAATTTTAAATGAGATAAAAGATTGAAAAACTCTTTTTTTTTTTTTTTTTTTTTTTTTTTTGAGACAGTCTCACACCGTCACCCAGGCTAGAGTGCAGTGGCATCATCTTGGCTGACTGCAACTTCTGCCTCCCAGGTTCAAGGGATTCTCTTGGCTTAGCCTCCTGAGTAGCTGAGATTATAGGTGCCCACTACCATGCCTGTCTAATTTTTGTATTTTTAGTAGAGACAGCGTTTCACCATGTTGGCCAGGCTGGTCTGAACTCATGACCTCAAGTGATCCTCTTGCCTTAGCCTCCCAAAGTGCTGGGATTACAGGTGAGAGCCACCGTGCCTAGCCAAAAGATAGAAAAACTCTAAGAATTAATTAAAAATAACACTAGCTCAAAAAGAAAAAGTGAAAGTCACAAATCTGCAATCAGCAGAAACTCTAGAGAATAACAAATGGAACTCGTACCTTACAGTGGAGCTTCAATTCCAACCACGTTGAGGCAGGAATGTGTGTGGTTTCAATAAGTGAATTGGTCTGAATCTTCAACCAAGAATGGAGCATTGAAATCTGAGGAGGGCTTACCCTGTTGACTGACCTCCATTGACTCTGGTGAGGTTAGATGAATGAAAGTTAGGCTCATACCAGGGCTCCAGCTGTCAGCAAATTGAAGGAGATCACTGAAAGTCTGCTTCAGGTTCCACCTGAGTCACCAAAATGTCCACCTTACATAACATAAGTACAGAGCTTATTTGAGCTCAAAGTTTGAAGATTGCCACCCAGGAACCTAGATTCATGTTGCCCTGAATATACAGTCCAATTGGCAATAGTTACAAGTGGATCTTGAAAGGAAAAAAGAAGTTGTTTTCAAGACTTTACATTAAAATAACATAAGCTATTAATTGGTTCCTTGTTCTTTGTGTCACAAATTCTAGGAATATGAAGATAAAGAGTGAGAAAGCTGGTAAGGAACAAAAATGCCTTTAAACCATTGCCCCTAGGCATGGGTACTCAAGGAAGAGAGCCATGACTGAAGTCCTGTACTTATGTCTCTCTGGGCCTGATAAATGTTGCATATCTCACGTTGTTCAGCCTGCTCTGAGCTATTTTTCTTTTCTCAATAATATCTAGGAATGAAATATGGCTGTAGCTAGGAGATTGATTAAAAGTGGTAATGTATTCCAGAGTCATTTATGGTATGACTTTTCTAGACCTATACTTAATTTTCACTTTATCTCAGATTATTTAAGTTTAATTTTCTGCCATTTCTTTATGAAAATTCCTTCTAGAAACATTAGTCTGGCTAAAAAAAATATATTTAGATAATTATGCCTCTATATGAGTACACAGATGAGTGTCCCTACTGGGGTAATCAGGTAATCCAAGTGAAAGAAGTAGTTTCTAGATGGAGTATAAGGCAAACTTTATTTCTTATATGCTTCTTGAAACACACAGTCTTTGGGATAATTTTTTTACTCCTATGCTGTTGATAGCTTTATAGTGTAGGCATCAAGATGCTGAATGGAACCAGAGTTTCACTCCAGATGATTCTACTGAAGAAAATTAAAGAGTATTTACAAAATATTTACAGAAGCAGTGTTAAGGGAACTGGCAAAGAGATGTTGATGTTCCCAGAGAGGAGCAGCAAAGGGAGACCCTTACCACCCTGAGAGCTCAAGGAGTAACCAGATGTGGCTGGGCACAGTGGCTCACACCTGTAATCCCAAGCACTTTGGGAGGCCGAGGTGGTGGATCACAAGGTAAGGAGTTCAAGACCAGCCTGGCCAAGAGAATGAAACCCTGTCTCTAATAAATACAAAAATTAGCCAGGCGTGGTGGCAGGCGCCTATAATCCCAGCTACTTGGGAGGCTGAGGCAGAGAATTGCTTGAACCCGGAAGGTGGAGGTTGCAGTGAGTCAAGATTGAGCCAGTGCACTCCAGTCTGGGTGACAAAGCAAGACTCCGTCTAAAAAAATAAAAGGAGTCACCAGAGAGGGGTGTTTCCAGAGGTCAGTGAGAGCTAGAGCCTCAGAGGAGGGCTTGCTTGGAAGGACTGTAGACAGGGAGAGATGCAACACCTACTAGACAGAAGGGCCAAAACAGGGAGAGAAAGAGGGAAAATCACTCAGATTTCTCTCTACTCTTGCCTTTTGAAGTTCTTTCAAGCTTCCATAGGCGGAACCCAATGGAAAACCAGTAAACAGAAGAGCGAAGATTACACAGTCGATAGAAGGGTCACTTTCTTGGGGCATAGAGCAGGACAGAGAGGACATCTAGGAAAGGGTGAACAGAAATACACCACTATCCCTGTATAAATTAAGTTAAATACTTTTTCTTTTCTCTTAACTATTAAAAATAAACAATGCAAGTTCAGTGACAAACAGCACCTACTATTTTGCCTTAGGATGGGCAATTGATACAGATTGGTAGGAATAATGACAAAGTGACTTCGTTTAAAGAACAAAACTGCTCTTTTACTCTATTCCATGGTTGCTGTGATGTCTTTTTTTCTGACACCAAATGTGTGGGTTTTTCTAACATCAAATACCTTATTTTTGCATATCAATTCTCCAATTCTCTGACATCAATTGGATGTCCTATAATTTAACTCAGTTGTGACACAAACTACCTGATCATCATCAGACTCCACAGGTGTAAGGGCTCAGTTCCATACCAGCTGCAAATGGAGTGCCCAGGTGTATTAGTCCATTCTTATACTGCTATGAAGAAATACCTGAGGCTGGGTAATTTATAAAGAAAAAGAGGCTTCATGGACACACAGTTCCACATGGCTGCTGAGGCCTCACAATCATAGCGGAAGGCAAAGGGGGAGCAAAGGCATGTCTTACATGGCGGCAGGCAAGAGAGTGTGTGCAGGGGAACTGTTCTTTATAAAACCATCAGATCTCATGAGACTTACTATCCTGAGAACAGCACAGAAAAAAAACCACCCCCACAATTCAATTACCTCCTACCAGGTCCCTCTCATGGGACATGAGAATTGTAGGAGCTACAACTCAAGATGAGATTTGAATGGGGATACAGCAAAACCATATCACCAAGCTACCCAGATTTCTTCCCAGCAACTACAAAATGTGGGAGTACCCACAACTCCCCAGTTCAGGTTTAGTAACTCACTAAAATGACTCTCAAAGCACTTTATGTTTACCAGTTTATTATAAAGGATACAACTCAAATGAAAGAAACGCATATGGTGAAGTATCAGGGAAGGGGTGTGTGGCTTCTGTGGTCTCTCTGAGCTCACTACCCTCCTGTCATGTATCAACGTCTTCACCAACCTGAAAACTTCCTGAACTTTGTTGTTTCTAGGTTTGATTGATTAAATCATTGGCCCTTGGTGTTTGAGCTCAATCTCCAGCCCCTCTCCATTTCTCAGAAGTCAGAGAGGGTGGGGCTGAAAGTTCCAACCCACTAATCAAGTTTTAGTCTTTCTTGTGACCAGTCCCCATCCTGAAGCTACCTGAGTGACCTCATTAGCATAAACTCAGATGTGGTTAAAAATAGTCTATTCTGAACAACACAACATACCCCTATCACTCAGGAAATTCCAATGGTTTTAGAGGCTGTGTGTCAGCAACCTGAGAAAAAGACTAAATATAGTTTTTATTATGTCATAGTTGCCATGCAGAAAGCATGGGTTAAACTGTCCCATCTATTAAAAGGAATCATAAATTTCAATTTTCATGTGAAATCTCCGAAGTTTCAAATGTTGACAATCATTTCAAAATTTCCAAAATCTCTTTGCAGTCCAAATGGAACATACCTGTAGACTGGGTTTGGCCCGTGGTTTCCAGTCTCACATACCTGACACAGAACTGTGGAACAGGAGTTTTCAACCCTGGCTGCACACTGAAATCACCTGGGTATCTTTGAAATCTTTGTACATGGGCCTCATGCCAAAACAATTAAGTCAGAATCTCCTGGGCTGGGCCCTAGAGACTGGTATTTTTAAAAGTAGTTTTCTGATAATTTTAATGTACACTGATTTTAAAAGTAAGCTTCTTATTTTGGAATAAGTTTACCTTCACATGAAAGTGTAATGATAATATAGATTTTCTATATACTGCACACCCAGTTTTCCCCATTAACACCTTAAATTACCGTGGTACATTTGTCAAAATTAAGAAACTGACATTGGCATATTATTATTAACTAAATTCCAGACTCTATTTGGATTTTGCCAACTTTTTCTTTAACATTCTCTTTCTGTTCCAGGATCCAATCCAGTTACCATATTGCATTTAGTTGTCCTGTCTCATCAGCCTGCCCTGATCTGTGATAATTTCTTAGGCTTTGTTTGTTTGAATAGTACTGGCCAGGTAGCCTGAATGTCTCTAGATCTGAGTTTGTCAGCTATTTGCCTCATGATAGGACCCTTAGTTTATATGGGTTTTGGGCGAGAATACCACAGAGGTGAAACACCCTTGACATCTCATATCAGGTTATATTCCATTTTTGAAAACAACTTCTTGAAGTAATAGTGGCTGGGTAGAGTGGAGCTAACAGGACCCATCCTACCCTTGAACCGATTGAAGTACATCAGTCAGTAGAGAAAATCAGGAGGGATGACATGAGGTCAGCAAGGGAGCTGCATCTCTTCCAAATAGTCTCAATTGAGAGTCATGAGACAAAAGTTCTATTCCAGGTTCATCCACTAAATAGTTTTTAAAAAAGCCATTCACAGTCTTCTAGTGTTACTTTCTTCATCTGTACAATGTAGAAGTTGATATCTGAGGCCATTTCCAGTCTTGAAATTATGTGATTCTCAAACTCTGGAATGTGTTTTCATTAGTCAAATATTGTCATCCACAGTTTCATTTCCTAAGAGGAATGTGTTGTGATGCTGAGCAGGATATCTCAAAATGTCTGGTTTCTACAAAAGGGCATATAAGGGAGACCTCTCAGCTTCACTGTTTGGTACTTAAGCCATTTGTACCCTAAGAATGTCAGGTGCCTGGCAGGAAGAAAACAAATTGCAAAAACTGAGAAGAAAATTCATCACATTCATTCATCTTTGTTTCTAGGACTCACCATTTTATTCCTTCCATTACAATGGTTTAAGAAAGAAATGACATAATTTGTTTTTGAAATGTCGGAAGGAGTGCACAGTTTAGTACTTTAAAAAATATTTTAATGTTGACCCTGTGCATACGTAAATCTTACCAGAAATGAGGATGACTGGCTTACAAAGTCAGATACTCTAAGTTGCCAATAGTTTGTACAGAGCCTGTGATTGCAAAACCACAAACATTTCACAATACTGGAAACCTCTAATTAACCATAATAAATGACAGGATGGATTTGTTTTAAACACATGGTTAATAATGCTTATTGCTTTAAGACCAAAAACTGTGTGATTCTTTATGGAGGTGACAGAGGTAGGCTGCAAATGGTTTTGCAAAGTATATTTCTACCTCTGCGTATTTAGTCTGACCCAGAACATTCTACTAATATTGTATCAGCCTCTCATCTGATGTAATTTGCCTGTGGGAATTGTATTGGCTGTTAAACTAGCTCCTCTTAGTAGCTGTTTAAAAAAAAAAAAAAAAGGAAGCAGCAGCAGCACAATTCTGTGGTGTGTTTCAAATGACTGAAGTCGGGTTCCTAGGTACTGAGACAAGAAAGAATGTCAAACAGGACCTTTAAAGTGTATTTATATTTAAACATCAGACCTAACAGAAAACCCTGAAGCTTTATACAATGATTAGAGCCTTGTAAGAACCTAATTAATGTATTGTCAGGTGAATGGTTGGCCTGGCACTCGAGATGTGCTGAGGGACACAAGGGGTTTCAGGTACCACCTAGGAAGAAAAGATGCAGTTGTAGTGATTCAGTGGCCCATCTGAAAGGGACCTATAAAGGCAGCTGTGTCTGGCGTGCTGTCTTTTCAGACTCACTTGATAATGCTAGTGTCAGTTTCAACTGAAGCGTGTGCCAGATTCCAGATAGCTTGAGCTGGCATTTCAGAGAGGTTAATTGTGAAACTTGAGAAGAAAATGGGCATATTCTTCCTAAGATGGCTATTCAAATATAGTCTCTTCCCGCCCCCCGCCCCCCGCCCCCCACCAGAGCTTTCTGGGTCTCAGTCTCATTTTTGTTCTGCTTCCACATAAAATGCATGAGGAACAGTGGGACTTTTCCCCTTGGCAGCTCCTATATTGCCACCTTTGCTGGGACTGCTTTGCCTTGTTAAAATGTGCCCCGTGTATTAAAATGGAATTGTCACTGCTGGGTGGTGCAGCATAACATGGTTTGACACTAAGCGCCGGCAGCTACAGAAAACAGACTTTTATTGCATTTATTCTTTCAGAGACGGGAGTCTCTAAAGGCTCACAGCAGACATTCACTTAGTTAAATCTGAATGAACCCAAAGTGAACAATCTATGCTGCTATCTTTGTGTTCATAGAAACAGCCTCCATCCAGCTTGATATGACTGTAAAACAGTGTTAAGAAAAGACGATCATACTTAGAATACAGAAGGGAGGACCTGAGGCTTTCAAACAAGAACAAAAATATTTTAAGTGGGTGGAGTGGGTTAGCCACTTGCTTTCCTTTTTTAGCTTCCTCTCTATTCCCTAAAATGTATTATATAGAATAAACATGCACACACCCCTAGTATTAGTCTTCATTTATAATTCCATGCCATTTTAAGACAAAGAGAAGGGATTTGATTTGTAGGACTCTTGCAAGCAAGCTTTAGATTCTTAACTGCCTTTTATCCAGGCGAGTACCCAGAGAGAGACTGAACAGAGAGGGGGCTTTGAGGCATAAACTTTGCATTCTGTCGCTCTCCTCGAATAAAAATTCCATAAAGTAACATCTGTAGTAATTAAGGGCTTACATTTCCTCTCCCATTCATGTCTCTGCTAGGAGGGAAGGTTATTTTGCCTAAGAGACAATAGTGGATCCTGTGGGAAGAGAGAAAGAACAGTTAGAATTCTTTTCTTCATGGAAATGGAAGTTTTCTACTTTCAAAAAGAAAAAAAAGAAAGAAAGATTAAAAAACAATTGAAAGACTTACAGTAAAAGCTTCCACTGGAAAGGAAACTTGAAAGAGTTAGGAAAATGGTACTTAGCTGTTCCTAAATATTTAGAATGAGGAAAGACTCCTCTTGCCTTTCTTATCCAAACATCTTCTGATACAGGGGAACTTGTGAGTGAGTAGTAAACAAAATACGGTTTGGGTTTTTATTTTTTATCTATTAACATTGCATTCTGAATTTTTTTTTTCAAAATAATACTTATGTGCATCCCTTGGGTCACCTGATGATATACATACTAACCGTTTATATTAAGTTAGGTTCCTGCACTCTATTGTCATAGAAGGATCAACTACATAAATTAGGGTGAAAGATGACAATGTAGATCCCTTTGTTAAAAGCACTGTTAAGAAGTTCAAGGTGGCGACGGCAGAACTTTAAACCAAGTGCAGAGTTGTTCTAAGTGTGGGACTCTGTGTGAAGACATAGGCCTCATTCCTGTAAATTCAGCCCTGCTTGGCGGTAGAGATTTGTCATATGTATCAATACAGACAGATGCACACTCATCCCATGCTTCATAGGAATGTACATCTGAAAACAAAACTTCTTCAGAAAATAATTATAGCTCCAAAATGTAACTTGTTCCTGATATCATCTTCAAACTTGTTAAACAGGTGATACAGATGCCCTGACTTCCTCTCTCAGTTAATTTTTAAGAATTTCCCGGGCAAACCTTCCACTGAGCCATATGCTTGCTCTCTCTACCACACTGTAATAAGGACGCATGCCCTCCAAGCTGCCCAGCTCAGCCCCCTGCCCTAATTACTTCTCCAAAAGCCTTTCCTAGATTCTGTGCCTCTTCTCAGCATCATCTCTGACTTCTAGGATTCCTCTCACATTTGAATTCTTATAACTGTAATAAATACGTATAACTGACTTGACATTTGTTAACATATTTTTTTCATATCTTGTTTCCTTTGCCATGTAATATGGTCCTGTAATATAGCCATGTAATATGGTCCTGAAATACATATAAAATTTAGACGTAGGAAAGTTTTACAACTTGGCGTTGATGGGCACCATTCCAAGAAAGCTCGTATTAATAACAGCAGAAAATCTAAAATTATACTTTGCCTTTTGAACAAATTTTACACATTTCATACACATTCTTTCATGTGTATGTGTGCTGTTTCTTAAATTTATTTTTGCCTCTAGTATACTCTTTGGAAGACTTAATTTCCTTTAATCAGAATTAATCCTTAATTATTATCCTCCCCATCCAAGCTTATAAAATAATAAAGGCCAGATATTATTCATTATTTGGAAAATGCTACAAATATTACTGTACTTAAGATATGGTAACATTGCCAAAATTTAAAATATGTTGGTCTGGCTCAAAATGTTCATGCTTCAGGTTGTATGTGAGATGCCAAAATTTGGCACAAGAACACCAGTTTAGGAATATTGATAAGATAGTATGAAAAAATAAGACATTGTCCAAAATTCAATATTGAGAAAGTACGGAACCTAAGGTTTGTATATATATACATACCTTCCTTCAAGATGTAGGACCCCACCTAACTCTTTGGGTGTCTTACATACAGTGGATTTTCAATAAAAATGTCATAACACTGATGACTCCATTACTATACCAATCAGTCCTTTAGGCTGCAAGCTGTTCAAGTAAAACACATCTTGTCGACTTCTTCTGTGGAATCCATCAGTAGTATAGCTTAGTAGCTATAGCACAGGCTTTACTGTTGCAGAGGTGTTAGTTCAAATCTTGACTTTACCTCTTATTGGAAAGGTAGTTTATCTGTCTAAGCCTCAGTGCCCTTATGGATATGAATGACAATAACAAGATCTACCCATCAGGTTTGCTAATTCATCATTCAACAGACATTTGTTGAACACTTTCAATTGCCAAACATTGCTGAGTGAATTAAGATAATGCCTCAGGGTTACCTCTGAAAGAAGGCTCAGAACAGAGCCCTCCACATAGACACCTTTCAAAGAGTGAATAATACTTTCTCAGCATTGATGAGTTTGCGATGTTCTCTTATTAATCTGGTCATCATGGTCATGACAAAAGTTGGCAATTGGGGTACATTTCTTAAATCAAGTATTTCTATGGCTTTCTGGTTTTCCTTTACTTCTTAAGTTTCTTTTTCTTGTCAGCCATATATGACGTCTGGTTTACCTTTTTTTCCCAGAATGGAGTCTACTGAAAAATGTGAAGTGGTAATTCAACATTTTAATGGAAAATATCTGAAAACACCACCAGGCATCCCAGGTAAGAAATGTCACTAATTAGTCACTAAATGATGCCGAGGCTTAAATTGCTCTTATTAGAATAAGTACATGGTAGAGCCTTTGTTGATCACTGCAGATTTGGGGAGTTTGCTTTTATTCATGTGTATTTTTAAAAAATACTGTGTATCAACTCATCTTTCTCAAAAACTTTTTGGTAATTCTTCTTTGGCTTTTTGAATCTCTGCTGCTAATTTTGTAAACTGGATTAGAAGAAAACCATAGCAAATAATAGTTAAATAATGATGTGCTGGAAGTGATGGAAGTTTATGACTCAGCATTAATATTAAAATTCCAATTTCTTAGTTACAAAATACCTAAACAATGATATTCACAATGAATCCCACAAATTGATGCCAGCCCTGAAACATTTCTTACCAGTCCATGACAAGAAAAGTACAGAAACTGGGAGAAAACATTTAGAAACTTGTATAATGATTTGATAATGTCATGAAATCTGAGTGCATAATTTTCTTTTACAAAAATATTGGTTACTGACAAATTGGAAATTTTAGAAAATACTATTTATCAGAGCTAGTTTGAGAAGTCCCAATCTGAACTATCCCAGGGCATTTCACACTTCCCAAGGCAAAATTCCTAAGGTTTTATATACATCATAAAGTGTTCTAACTTTATACTATTAAGAATTACATTAAACATGAAATAATTGGATTTATTATGTGTATCAGAGCTACAAATGCCAGAAGTTGAGGCGGTAATGTATGTGGAAGGTTTTAATATTAACTAAGTAAAGTTTTAAATATAATTTCTATATAAAAATTAACAATTGAATGAAGTATTAAACTAAGAAAAATTACATAAATAATCATCTGAATAAGGCAGGTTGGTTTATTTGTTGGTATTTTATATACTGTTAGTCTCAGAGGAGACTAAGGTGACTTCTTTCATCTTACAATACGTGGCTTTCATCTTTATAAGCTTGATTTCAATAGTGTTTGCTGTATAATGCATCTACTATTTAAAACCCATCAGAGAGTTCAGAGGTTGAGCATTTTAGTTTCTTAAAATATATTGAGTTTATAGATAAGAGGAAGCGTATACAAAAAGAGAAATATTTTTGTGGAGGGTTTTGTAATGACTTGCTTTGTTTAAAGGGGGATGTCAAGAATGCAGAAAGACCCTTCAGACAGACAACTTGCATAATCTGAAAATCTAAAGTAGCTGATTGCTGGCTAATCAGTGAGTCAACATATAGTGAAGACTGTGCCTTGATTTGGTTAGCTTCCATGTGTAACGTTCCCTTGGGAACTGACTGCATTATGATCCAATTGGAGACATATGGTGTTGTTAAGAAAAGAGTTAGCAGTTTTCATCTCAGCATGTTAGCTGCCCTTGCATTTTAGCAGAAATATATATATATATTTTTTTATAAACAGACATTTTAAGACACTTTACTCAAACCTGTCATCGAGTAAAGGAGTTGCATTGTTTGTGGACTTTCCTCTTATTTGTCCTATTTTATCCAACAGAGACCTATCTATATAGAAGTTGTTCAAACTAGGTGTAAATTAAATAATTATATAAAAATAAAAATGAGCACACTGTGTAGAAATTATGGATGATTCAAGTTTTAGCACATCTCAATTTTTTAATTTGTTAAAAAAATTGATATGTCAAAAAGACATATTGAAAGCCTTCTTGCCCTGATTGATTTGAAGGTATTTCATTTGGTTTTCCCCATAGAACATATTGCTGACTAATACAATTTAATGCTGAAGACAAAGAAAGTCACTACAAATCCCCAAATGTCTGGGCATCCTTCCAGAATATGCAGGCTGTGATATTAACCTATCTAATATCATAGCTACACCCAATGGAAACATAGTGAATAGCAGGAACTTGGTTATGAGTTTTCTCACTCATTTTTATCTCCTGGGAACAAGAAAGACAAAATAATTATGTTCAGTTATAAAACTCTTAGGAGAGGTAACTGTATGCTTCTGAGATTTCCACTCATCATAATAGAACTAAATACACAATATTGATCATCATCAGTGCTTGAATCTGCTTATTTATAAATTACTTTGAAAGTTAGAGTTGAATAAAGGCTTCAAATGCTAAGTAAAGACATTTAATCTTTGATACTTAAATTAGGTGTGGAAGAAAAGAGGATATAATACAAGATATGGGTATTTTGAAAGGTAAAGTAGTAATTTGCCCTTGTTGAGTAGAATTATTAAGTCACGACAGGTATAACTACAATTTGGGTGTATGCTGTCTGCCTTTATTGGTCCTCATTACTTACTACCTGGAAATAGCTGAAATCTTACTTTCAGAAATATATGTCTTAGCCAATATTCAATTCCATATTTACAACAGGGAGTAGGATATCACTATGAGCTATGGCATCAGATATTCATACTTTTTTTTTAAGTGGCCAATTTCCTAATCTTTTTCATTACTTTAGAGAGTGTGTCTTTGCTTGTGAATATACTCCACTATAATTAGTGTGACCCACTGAAAACTAAAATACAATTTTAAAATCTGAAAAATCTCAGTGTTCTGCCTTATCAAGATTTCACATATTTGAATTCAGAAGTTTGTGGTTTTATAGAACTGCACATTGATTGTTTAAATACATTGCCTTAAGGTCATGTCGATGAGGGACTCACAGTGATCCAATAATTATGACCCGAGATCCTCAGGCCTTAAGAAAGCTGTTGAAAGGTTGAATATTATGTCAATCATCTTCTTCTCATACTAGAGCCCTATTGTATTAGTTTGTTTTCATGCTGCTGATAAAGACATATCCAAGACTGAGCAATTTACAAAAGAATGAGGTTTATTGGACTTACAGTTCCACATGACTGAGGAGGCCTCACAATCATGGTGGAAGGTGAAAAGCATGTCTCACATGATGGTAGACAAGAGAAGAGAGCTCGTGCAGGCAAACTCCCCATTTTAAAACTATCAGATCTCATGAGACTTATTCACAATTACAAGAACAGCACAGGAAAGACCTGCACCCATGATTCAATAATCTCCCACTGGGTCCCTCCTACAACATCTTGAATGGGAATTCAAGATGAGATTTGGGTGGGGACACAGCCAAACTATATTGACTACATTTAATATTACTCTAAGCAAGTACAGAGCGACTGGTGCCATATTCATACTGTCTACCTCTCTGTTTAGGGACAGTGTGGAGAAAATGCGCATGTGTTATTGGGCAAATATAATGGCATTCAGTTTCTGTCACTGTTGACAATGACAATTACTCTTAAAGGAGATGCAAAGCTAATTATTTTCCTGAGATGATCATCTAAGTTTCCAAGTCCCCAACTGTATTATTTCTATAAAAGAACAAGGAAAAAAATCTATTTCAATCTAAAATGTTGACAATGCTCTGAATTTCAAATTCTAAAAATGTCATAGGTAAGGAAATTTGCAAGGACATGTAACACTGACCACATTTATGTTGCTGCCCAATTTCGATTTTAGCCATTGTTGGAATAATTGGCTAATTAAATATGATTCATGTTGGTATTGGGTTCTAATTCCTGACAGATATGTGAGTTGGAAGAGAACTTTACAGATATCTTTTTGGAACACGCTTTATTTCTCTAGGCTCCTCCTATTTATTCATAAAAGATCTTTTTTTAAATGAATGCATCATGGATCATTGATGTCTTTTAGCACATCCCAGAACTACCTCTGTTCATTTTAGATTATAATGTTATCCCCAGATTTTGGTTACCTGGATCAATGAAGCTAAATATACATGCCAAAAGTCAAATTATTGAGTACTAGTATACAGGAAGTTAACAAAGATCAGTCACATGTATTGCTGCCAGCAGATGAGAAGGAGACCAAAAGCATGTGTTAAATAGTGTCAATCATTTGACTGTTGTAGCCATCAGCAGAAAGAGATCATTCAGCGTTTTCTGCCTTCCCTAGAGGGAAAAGAAAATACAGCATTCCATAAATGTTGCATGTCCTACATATCGATCTTGATGCTTTTCTGGACAAAATGAAGGATCATTAGTTGCTTGCCTGCCTAACCCCAGACACTTCTTTGTCCCATAATGAATTGCACAGCAATGTCGTATAGCCCCAAAGTGTTCCATTTTCAAACCTCTGGCAAAAGCAAAGGGTTAGTTCCCAGACACTTCAGGGATCTGTAGGGCATGGACTTGAAAGGCTCACTTTCAAAGAGCCCCCAGAGCAGGATGATACACCATGCGGAAAAGGCTTTCACATGTAGGGACATGTATTGATGAACAGAACATGCAGGCCGGTTTGTGAAAAAATAAATCATGTTTTTCTCTCAAACTAGACATTTTTTTTTTCCTGTAAGCACGTGCTCCTGTCAGTGGAGCAGTCTTTTCAGAATAAAATGGAATAACTAACTTCTGGTATGCTTTCCTTATTCTTTAGATAATTGTTTCTAATCTCAATTGAAGTAGGGAAAATTTGAGAGAAAGCTTAGCACATTATGGGATCTTATAAAATTTAACAACTCTTGTAACTGACAGAACTTTGCACAAATAGGTATCAGAGGAATAATATTTTTCTAATAAATAAAGCATGGAGCTTTTTGATGTTTTGACATAGTAATTTTAATGTCATGTGTTGATGTAAATAAAAATGTGTATGACTATGTATGTATATGAATACTTTATGGGAGCAAGCAAGGAAAAATATTTACAAAATGATTTTTTAAATGATGAACACAAGTGTTCGTATAAACTTAACATTCCTGCCAGAGTAAACTATTGACAACATATTTAAATCAATTTATCTTACGTGATTCAAAAATCAGAATATTTAAGCAATAGATTTACAAGTTTTTATCAGTGGGGAATGTTGCAGAGCCTTAAAGTCTGTGTTTGCTCAATAGTAACTGTCTATTAAGTCCACAAATAAAACTATAGCTGAGAAGAGGTAACAAATAAAAAATGCTATGGTGTGTAGTTGGGCAAAAAATATTTCTTGATTGTTCTGCTCAGGTGGAGCATTGCT